AGCAGGCAGAGTGTGTGTTGACCGGCCAGGCAACCTCTTACTGACGTCTCCCAACTTGACATAAGGAAGAAGCGATCCTGAGTGTCCATTCTTGCGGTGACCATCTTTCCAAGAGGCCCTGCAAGATGAGAATGAACAGCTCCTCTTGGCCCCGGCCAGGGGGAAAGGAATGGTCCTTTCTCTGACCACCCGTTTCCCACACTCATCCATCTATATGAATTGGGCTATGGCAGTGATGGCGAACCTTTTGAGCTCGGCGTGTCAGCATTTTGAAAAACCCTAACTTAACTCTGGTGCCGTGTCACATATAGAAATCTTGTGATATTTGCAACCCATAGTAAAACAAAGACTTATATTTTTGGTATTTATTTTATATATTTAAATGCCATTTAACAAAGAAAAATCAACCAAAAAAATGAGTTTGCGTGTCACCGCTGACACGCGTGTCATAGGTTCCCCATCACTGGGCTATGGCAAGGTGCCTGGGAAGGCTGAGCCCTTCTAAGAGCTGGTCTTAGATCTCTTCTTACAGAATCCACACAATACCAGAGGGAGCGGGAATGATGAACCGGAAACCTGCCCCAAAGCCGGGTAAGTGAAGTTCAAGTAGTAAACTGTTTTCACATGGGCCACAGTAGCTCGACCGCTGAGGTAAAAGGGCCTCTGAGACCCATAAATGTCTGGTTTCCTGTGACTCTCAGTGGTGTTTCTTGCTGAGCTGGCTTCTTCACCAGCCAGCAGCACTTGCCCAAGGGCAGCCATTACTCTAAGGGTCTAGACCAGGGGTGGGCAAACTTTTTGATTCGAGGCCACAATGGGTTCTTAAACTGGACCGGAGGGCCGGAACAAAAGCATGGATGGAGTGTTTGTGTGAACTAATATAAATTAAAAGTGCACCCATCTTTTCATTTACCTGTCTTCCCTCTAGTGGGGCCGGCCATCCACGCGGGCCGTAGTTTGCCCACGGCTGTTATAGCTGGTGGAGGGAGGTCTTATCACGCCCCTCTGGATGAATGTTCTGGAAGGCTCTTGGGGATTCTGTGATGTCTAGTTGACCTCTGGTGGTCCTGGAGCTGCCAGGCGATGGGTTCTCCAGTGAGCCCCCCAGTAACTCCATCAGTCTAACAAAGATGGAAAGCAGGGTCAGCGCCACGCCTAAGGAACAGATGTTCAATAGAACCTCATAGCTGAAGGGATCCCCCTCCTTTGCAGAGCAGTAGAGCTGCCTTCAGTTTCTGGAAGACTCCTGGGTTCTGCAGGAAGAAGGGCCGGAAGCGGCCGGCTGGATGTAACAGCAGGTAGTGCTGGAGTCTGGAGGAAAGTCGGCCGACAGGCAGCGCAAGGAGGCGACTCAGACAACCCTCAGAAGACGAGCGCACAGTCAGCAGCAAGTCGCAGAGTAAGGCCGCCCACACTGCTCACTTATACACAATGCCTGCTCCTCGCCCGCGCATGCGCACTCAGGTCCCTGTACAGGCTCCAGATGTTGGGGTCCAACCCCAGCAGGCCCGGGGTCTCCAAAGGTGTGGACGGAGTCGGCAAAGAAGGAATGACACGGAGACAGTGTTCA